CTACAGCCAGCCCAGAGGCAGATAGGATTTTAGGAGGGGAGGGCAGACAACAAAGCTCTTCCCCTGAGCTTGATGCAGCCATGAGGTTCGAGGCAGCATGTCTGAGCAAGCTGCCGGCCATCAGCAAGCCTCCTCAGCTCTCCTTCCCTAAATTTTGCAGCTCTTCCGGTCTCTGGCTGGTGCTGGACCAGGGATCATCCAGAAGTGTTGAGGAGCAAGATACTTCTCACACGCAGAGAAAAGAGAAATCCCACGAACCAGTTCCCAGGTCAGGGAACCCTGTGGCTGCTCTGCATCTCCTCCTGACCTTGCTGCTCTCCCCCGAGGTCTTGGCACTGCTTGTGGGCCTTTTTGGGGAATGAGTGCTGCAGGACAGGTCACTTCCCAGTCCCAGCCCCTCCTGCAGAGGGCTCAATGAAGCCCAGACCTGACCTTGGGAATCAGCTGTGACCTTGGAAAGTGCCTCATCCAGAGGGACAGGCTGCTGACACGGAAGAGGAGAGAAAGAAAGACCTTGAACTGCTGCAGTAAGAGCTTTCTGGAGCAAGGCTGAGAATGCGCATCCTTCCCAGTTGCCTCGGGGTGCCTGACGCCTGATGGGGGACTACACAGCACGGCTTTGCCAGAAGGGACAAAAGCACCCGGCTGACTCCTCCAAAGACAGAAGAGAGCAGATGGCATTGAAATCTGCTCAAGAGGAGAGGAAGGAATAGCCCCAAGGCTCTGCACTCCCTGTACCCTGAGAGGCACATTTGTTCCCGGTCAAGCGTGTCAACCAGCCCCATCTCTGACTTCCTGAGGGGCAGGGAAAGGAATGGCAACTTCGGACTCATGCAGCTGCTGCATTTTCCTTGCCACTGTTTGCTTTTGTGAGGACTTTCCTGAGAGTCCCTTTGATGGGAACAGCATGTTATACACAGGTATCATCTGTATTCAACTCCTTGCTGCCTTGATAACTAGGTTTTGCACAAATGGGGTTTGACTCTGCTCCCTAGCAGAAATTGCTTGGACTCTCTTTCTGCCTCCTGATGTCCTGTTTAGACCACTTTAACTGGCTAGCATAAACAGTAAGCTTTCCAGAGGAGGGACAAGCCAGGCAGGAGTATTTGCAGAGCATGTTTAGCCCCAGAAGATACTGATTTTTCACAGAGGTTACCATAACGCTGACGACATTGAAGGAAATAACTCTGGGTGCTTCTGTGCTGGGAAAGCGCCCTTATAGGAAAGCCCATGTTGCCTGTGGTTCTGCTCATACACACCAGGATCCTTTTCAGGATAGCACTGAATATAATTCAGGCACTAGAGAACTGCAGAGCACAGAGTGGGGCTCCTGCAGCTGAGAAACAAATGGCTAACTTAGTGGTGAGAAGGCATGGTGTGCCTTGCACCCTCCATCACCCAGGGCCCCATCCTCTTCCCTGCTGTTGGTCCAGCTGGATCTACACAGCACTTCTCATATGCAGCAGCTATGACCTGCTTCTGCGTCTATTGACATGGTTACCCATCACCATGATATCTTTCTTGTATCTCAAATGTATTTCTCCTCCAGTGAGGTAGGGAAATGTTGCCCATCCCTGCACAGCATGGAGGTGCCAGTCTACCCCTGGGGAGGCTTACCAAGGTGAACAGCCACAGAATGGAGATTTGCAGCTCAGCCTATGGACTCCCAAGCTCATACCCCAGCCATGCACCAGGCTTCCTCTCCTTCTGCAGGCTTGGAGCCAGCAGGGATGCTGCCAGTGCCAGCTGCTCTAATTGAGCTTTTCAGAATAAACTTGTGGAATTAGCCTGTTGGCTGCTGGGATAAAATCCAGCACTGAGTGCAGATCAAATAAGGCAATCTTGCTGACAGTTTGTGGGGAGACAGAAGGACCCAGGCTTCTTCTACAGCTCTGGAAAGGGCAGTGTTCAGCAGCCAAAGATGAGAACAGAGCAGGATACACACTGACTCTTCAGCGATACATGTGATCCAGACCCTTATGGTCAAAGCTACAGAAGCCTTGGGAGAGCTTTGACACTGGTGATAAAAACAGTCAAAGTCAGGCAAGAGACTGCACTAATTCAGAGAAAGACAATTTTTGAGTGTGCCATAAATTTTGACTTTTCCTGGTAGCATGAAAGGAGCAGACAATGCAATGCCAGGCTCTTAGCCCAGCCTACAGAGGCAACATGGTTTCAGACAGGAAAACTTGCCCTTGTCAGGTTTCTGTCTGCCCTTGAGGGCAAGACAGTCCAGCCCACCAGCCAGGGAGAGCTCATCATGTCAGGATGAGGAAGAGGGAGAAAGCCTCTCAGTGAAAGCACTATCTGCTACCAAGAATATTAAACTCAGCACATTCCCTGTGTAGACCTCACTCCCTCCCCTCTTCTAGTGAATTTGACCTAAATGTCAAAATCTCACAGATCTTACTCGCTTCAAGTCTGGATTTTTTTCCTAGAACCTTGCTTCTCCTTGATAAGAAACTGGAAGATTACGTCCATGCCCAGCAGAGCATTTATCTCACACATGCTCTCTTCTCTGACCCATGCCTATACCCAGCTCTGTCCCCAGAAAAGGTAATTTGATGGGCTAAGCCCAAACTGCACATGATCTGTCATCTCTGGGAGACAGCAGCAGCATTACAGTCTCTTGTAACCACCTCACGCAGGCCTAGGTGCAAACAGGAAGCTGTGGAAAGAAAGGGACTTTGGCTTATCCACCTATTTGTCATTGCTTCTCTTTACTCATGGCTTAGTCGAGTTTTCTCTTCAGAAGTTCTTGCTCTTTTTATCACCACCTCCTAAGCAGCCAGCTCCTCTGAGCCCATACTGTCCACTGCCCCAACTCAGGAAGGCGAGGGACAGGCACAGAAGGGGTTACCTGGGGCTGGGATCACACCGGGCCACCACCAGCAACTGGCGAGACAGTTCCAGAACTTAACCATGTTTGTCTCCAAAAAGGCTGTTTAGGTGAGACAGTTACAAATTGTATTTTATAAACTGTATTTCTATAAGTGGATTTTTTCACTAGCGGGGAAAAGTGCTTTAATAATCCCACTTCTGATTAATGGCAGGGTGTCTTGGCAAAGCAAAGACTGCCGCAGCTTCAGTTGTTTCTCAAGGAGGAACTACAAGTGGTAAATAAAGAAGAAAATGCACATGGCTCTGCCTGCAAAATACTAATCTAGACTCTCCTTAGGTAAAAGATACCCAGCAAAATTCTCTAAAGAGTTAGTTTTTAGCCTGTGAGCTGTAGAGATCTGTAAATTGGATCCTGCTCTTTTTACAGGTAGAGAAAATTTCAATCACTCTGGCATGTGAACATCTGAGATGTAATGATTTATTGCCCTCACTCCCTAAGAAGTAGTACTATCCCAGTGACAGACACAGGGATCTGAGGCACACACTGTAGTAAATCACTGGTTCACGGTCTCCTAGAAAGGCTGTGGGGCTGAATCCTAACTTTCAGTCCTACACCTCCCCTTCGGCAGGTCAAGGAAAGCCATCAGGGACAATGCAAAACCACACTGTGAATACAGCAAGGGCAACTGCAATTACCATTCTTCGCACATCTCTACCTTTCAGTCAAGTGTTTTTTCACAACCTCTATAACACAAAGTCAGTTGAATGATCATACAACTATGACCTGAAAAGTACCTGCTTTTCTACAAAACCATTGCATCATTTGGAACGTATTCTTATTTCAAGAGGCTGTGTGAGAAAATTAAGTCACGCATTAAGTCATGTTTCCTGTCCTGACATGTTGATACGCTTTATTGATACACTTCTTGTCCAGAGCCCTCTAAGTCTGTTCTCTATCATCATAAATCTCTTAACTTCTATCTCCATTTTTATCTGTGAAAAACAGGAATTTACGTACCAAATTTGACAGTAACTCCATCTCACCACTGTAGAGCAACCTGGCACAACCAGACAGGGACTGCACACTAGTAGTTAAAACCTTATTTTGCTGAGGATCAGTGTTCTTCTGATACATTATTTTAGGCCACATAGGTTGAATTCCAGTTCCTCCAAAGAGCAAAAACCTATTATTAAGATTGAGCAGTCTTTTGTGTGGTCATGAAGCCCAAGTTATCGTCATGAGAGTAGAGAATAGACAGGAAGAAATTTGCTAGACAACCTACCCCATCCTGCTGCTATTTGGCAAGTCATTTACACCAAAACTGTTCCCAACAGACATTTGCCTACTGTAGGCTTACATATTTCCACTAAGAGAAGTCCCACATTTCCAGTAAGTTTAATCATCATTACCACTGGAGAAGGTATTTCTGACACCTCACTGTTGTTTGAGCTGCCATGCTCTGCCACACTTCTAGCAGACAGAGAAGAGAGTGTTTTCTTCCTCTTCATGACAACCAGGTACAAACTGAATGGTTTTGTCATGTGTCACCACAGGTTTTCTACTTCAAAGTCAAACACAAGCTTTTTAATCAATGGGGCCAATTTACTATCATTAACATCACTCTCTTTCCACTCCTACACATTTTTGTTGTTAAGTACTAATTAAGATGGAGGAAAAATCTCATTAAATAACAGCATCATGACAGAAGGCACAGCAAAACAAGAGGCAACCAACTTGACCCGTGCACAGGCCACACAGAATGCAGCTCCACGGAGTGCGTGGGCCCCTACGCCCTCCCCACCGCGCCAGAACCTCGCGGCCCCTCAGCAGTGGGGACAGACGGCTCTAACGCCCCCGGCCACGAAGCCGAACGCGTAAAGAAACTCCGGCTGCCACGAATGCCGTGGTCAGGGTACGAGGCACGGCCACCGCCTCGGCCCGGGCCCAGCTGCCCTCTCAGCCTGCGGCGAGATGGATCACAGAGATACTGGTACGCCCCTGCGTGAGCCGCTCCTTCCTAGCCCGGCCCTCCCGCGGCTCTATGGCCGTGACGTACTACGTACTCTATGGGGGCGCTTTACGGCAGCCGCGCTCCACGCCTCTTAGTGTTTTGTGTTGATTTTTTTTTTTTAATTTTACGACAGCGGTGCTTGGCGGCGCTCCTGTCGCGTGGCGCTGACGCAAGAGGGTAGGCCGGCGGTGGCGAGGCCTTTTCTTTCGCCCGCCGCTACCGTATCCGCTGTCATCGGGGCTGTGACGGGGTGGTGCAGGTGAGGAGGCCGCAGGGGCTGCTCCAAGGTCAGCCTTCTGCCACTCGCCCGCGGTCATCGGGACCCCCGGCCCCGCCCCGGCGCAGCCCTCGGTTCTGTTGGGGGCTGGGTCCCCACCCCTCCTACTTCACGCACACGGTGGCAGTGGCGACCGGGACTCTCCGTCCCGCCCCGGCCGCTCCCCTCCGTGCTGGCCGATCCGGCGGAGGTGGTCTCCCCGCCCTCCCCTTGTGGTGGCACTGCGCCCTGGCCTGCGCCGGGG